ATTGAAGTATACTTACTAATATTTTATTTATTATTTTGCAGATGATGATATAGAAAGTTATGATAGTGATTCAGATCTAAATGATGAAGGAGATGAGGTATAATTTTTACTTAACATTTTTATTTGGGTTATTTATTAAAATTGTTTTGGTATTTTATTACTTAACTAGAAGACACCCTTGACAACCAGAGGCGGGTAGCTTTAGTCAATTAGTAGGTTCCTGTCATACTAAAATAACAATAATACATATTAAGTGTCTTTATCACAGTCCAAGTACATGACTTACAAATTTGTTGTGTATGATTTATAGATAAAAGTATTATATTCGTATATTATCTATAAACCCAACTCATCAAGTAATACTTCCACTAACTTATAAATTTTTACCAAGATTATAAAAAACTTTATAGTCGTGGTTGTTATTCTATACCGGGCATCATATTATTGACTGTGTTCTCACTTATCTGCGTGTGCCGTACATCAATTAGATCCAATTACCCTGATAAACGATGCCCCTTCATAGACCTAAACTTCAAAACAATGTTTGACTATTCCGTCAAATCCTGGCGACTTCGCCAGTGTTTTCAGTATATCTAATAACAAAATTTTTTTAAAAAACATTTTTAAATTAAGTGCGTTTGGTTAATTAACTAAGCTCCAAAATTTTTGTTTTTTATGCTTAATAGTTAATAAATTGGTAGAAAAAATAAAAATGTCTAAATTACTGAAGTTCTGTTATCAATGTAGCAAATTTTAAGTAAGTTTAGCTCCAATAGTTTAACCATTAGAGTAAATTGACTCCTTGTAAAATTTTAAGGTGAGATTATTATGTAGGGCTTCATATAGGCTTTTTATTATATTTTAATTCTAAAGCTAGTTATGAGTATTTTAAGATGTAAAAGACAATTAAAACTTTAAAATACTCATATTTCAGTTTAAAATTAAAATGTACAGTTAAAGTATGTCTTGCCCTAGATAATATATCAACTTTATTTTATAAGAGGTCAATTCACTCTAATTTTTAAGCTAATGGAGCTAAATGTAATCTACTCAACTTAAACTTTGCTATGTTCTGCATTTGTTAACAGAAGTAACAAAAATAAGAGTAGTGTCCTCTTAAGGCCATTGGTGCAGACAATTTTTAAGGGGTTTGATTTAGGTATTTTTAAAAATTCCAGTGTGCTCTTGCACACACATGTACAAGTCTCCATCTCCGTGTTGCACGCATGAATGGTACTCTTCGACTAATGGACCTAATAATGCTATAATATTTCAAAATACTGATCTGAATTTATTATAATGTTTACTTGAGATCGATCAATCAATCCACATTTTTAGATTTTTGTTATAAATCCCAAATAATCTACTTAGAAAATTCTGAAATTTCTAATTATTTAAACTTGATTTATAGTGGTTTTTTTGTGGTGGGGAGGGGTGAAATTAAGAAAAATGGACTGACGGATCTTAAGTAGACAATAAAATGTATTATCACACTAATAGGTCGATCCGTATGATTAACAAAATATTGGGATGTTTTAGCTAAAATAACTATCTGCCACTGATAACCTTAGAATAAAGTTATTTGTATTTGGTTGTATTTATTAATAATATAATATTATAATATTTTAGGAAAATGGTTTAGAAAGTTTTGATGAAGATGGACTATCAGATGATGATGACTATCTGGTAATTTATATGTTATAATTTTTAAAGCTGACAGCTGAACTAATATTAATTTATATAGGCAGGTACATTGGATGATGTTGATAGTTCAAATGAATCTGGAATCGAAGATACAGTTCTTAAAAAGAAAAAAGCTTCCTCAAAGAAAAGAAAGGCAGAAGAAAGTGATGATGAATTATTACCAATTGAAAAAGCAGCTAAGAAATTAAAAGCTGCAAAAAAAAAAGAAGAGTACATACAATTTAATTTAATAATTATTGTTTATTGCGATCTTTTAGCTATTATTATTTTATTAATTCTTGACAATAATTAGTGCTGAAGCCAATGAGGAAATGAAAATGCAAATTAATGTTGCAAGCCAAGATGTGTTTGTTTTTCCTGCCAGTGATAAAATTGATGAACATATTCCTATTCCCGAAGTAGAACAAAGAATTAAAGATATTTTATTAGTATTGTCTAATTTCAATAAATTTCGTGAAGAAAATCGGTAAGTTGAATATTTAAAAATAACTATTCTCTTAACTATTGCATTGATTTTTTTTGTTTAGAAGCCGACAAGAATACACTGAACTGTTACTCAAGGATTTGTGTACCTATTTTAGTTATAATACATTTCTAATGGAAAAAATGATGCATTTATTTCCACTTGAAGATTTAATGTCATTTTTGGAAGCTAGTGAAACACCAAGACCAGTAACTATCCGAACAAATAGTTTGAAAACTAGAAGACGTGATCTTGCTCAGGTATATATCTAAAATTAACTATCATAGAGATTGTCATACATTTTTTCAAATTCTAGGCATTGATCAACCGAGGAGTTAATTTGGATCCTATTGGTAATTGGTCTAAAGTGGGACTTGTTGTATACAATTCTACTGTACCCATAGGAGCAACTCCTGAATATTTGGCCGGTCATTATATGCTTCAGGTATAAATATGATAAAAATAATAACAAAATTGTGATTCATAATTTGTTGGTTCTGGGTTTTTTTTATATTGTTATACAATTTTAAAGGGATATAAATTTAGTTTTTTATCATTTTAATTCAAAGCCATTGGAAAGAAAGGGTAACTGACATATTCACTATTTTATGTAATAATGTACATTACTGGGGTAAATTGGAAAACTTGAGGATTTTGTTTGAATTATAGCTCGACAAATAATAATAAATAATTAAACTTGATTTATTAATCGTTAATTGTCACAATTACAATTTATCTAACCTTAATAAGATTAAATTTTAAAATGTTTTGATTGTATAGTTCCTATATACTTAAGTACTTTTTATTATTTAATAAATATAATATTTTAATATTAATAGGCAGCTTCAAGTATGTTACCTGTTATGGCATTAGCTCCTCAAGAAAATGAACATATTTTAGATATGTGTGCTGCACCTGGTGGAAAAGCCTCGCATATTGGTAAATATATATTTTATTATTTTGACAATTTTACCCTTACTTAATTAGTTAGTAATATTATATTTTGTTATAGCTGCAATAATGAAAAATACTGGAGTTTTAATTGCTAATGATGTAAATAAGAATCGAGCAAAGGCAGTTATTGGTAATTTTCATAGAATGGGAATTGCCAATTCAGTTATTTCAACGTATGATGGAAGACATATACCTCAAGTAAGTAGAATTAAAATTGCCTTTATTTTTGTTGATGGTCAGATTTAAAATTTCTGAAAATGAAATCTATATTAGATAACTTATTTTATGATTATATTGTTTAAATTTTAGTTATTCAAAAACTTTGATAGAGTATTATTAGATGCTCCATGTACTGGAACTGGAGTCATAAGTAAAGATTCTGGAGTTAAAATGAGTAAAGATGAAACTGATTTGCAAAGATGTTTTACATTGCAGCGAGAGTTATTGTTAGCTGCTATTGATTCTTTGAATTTTAAAAGCTCAACTGGTGGTTATTTAGTTTATTCAACGTGTTCTGTACTTGTAAGTAAATTGTGCTATTTGGTCTTGATTTTAAAATTTATTGATTGGAATTATTTATTTATTAATTTTGTTAATGAATACAACTATATTTTACAAAATTCAATTGTTATTGTTTTAGGCAGAAGAAAATGAATGTGTGGTAGATTATGCTTTAAAAAAAAGAGATGTAAAATTAGTTGATACCGGTTTAAGTTTTGGCACAGAAGGTTTTACCAATCTTCGACAGCACAGGTATTATTTTTAAGATATTTAAATTATTGTATACAATGTATTGTATTCAAATATATTCCTTTTTTTAAGGTTTCATCCTACAATGAAACTTACAAGGCGTTTTTATCCACATACTCATAACATGGATGGATTCTTTGTTGCAAAGCTGAAAAAATTTTCAAATATAATTCCCAAAAATGATGAATCAGAAGACATTGAAGAAGAAATTGAAACAAATAATGTTGATGCAGAAACTACAGAGGTTGAAACTGTTGAAAAACCAGTAGCAAATATAAAAAAACCAAAACACGGGCGTGGTAAAAATAGAGCTGAAAAAAAAAAATAATTTTCACTGTTTGACTTTGATTATGACTTCAGAGTAAATAAATGTTTTAAATATAAGTTAAAAGAAGTATTTTTATTGAACCTCAAGGTATGAACTCTATAATACACAACAAATTAATAGCATCCAGAATTTTGTTAAAATGTTTAAAATTAAATTGATGAATGCTCTGACAACAATCCCTAAGTTCTAAATCATTCAGTTTATTGAAACAAATTTAAAGAGAAATGTTGTAATAAATTTAGTATGATGAGATTTACATTTTGAGATAAAATTATAATATTTAATTTGTACTCAAAAACAATAGACATATTTATAAACAAATAGACCATGGACTTTGTAGATTATGTCGTTCAACAGGATACAAAAAAAAGTAAACATTAGTATGCATATTATGTTTATATGAAAAGTTAGTAACAATTAATTACCAACTAGCTTAAAAACTATCAAATTTTAAATTAAAATTATTTTTTTTTAATGCTGTATTAATCTATTTGCATTCAATGATGTTTCGATGACTCAAGTTTTTAGTTATTGTATTCTCTTAGCAGAATATAATAAAAAAATTGATCAGTTATGATTGACCTATTTATTTTTGAATTATATATCATCATACTTGATCTAAACTAATTAATAGGATTAATATTATGTAAACTGAACGAATGTGGCACTGCCCCCCAAGCTCAAATTAAAATATTCTATTGCTGTATAATTACTAGCTATTTAGTTTTGTATACATTTATATATCCATCTTGCATAATAAATTAAATATGATTTTATAATCATGTAAATTGATATTTTTGATCCAAGTTTTGCAAAGAAATTACTGCCCCATTGCCCCACCTGTTGTCACTAGAATAGTAGAATAAACACTAATTAAAGGGCATAAATAAAGCAAACATACACTCGGACACGCCCTTTACATATTTTGTGTCACTTTAGATGAAATTATGGTTATTATTATTCATACGTTGGTTTAATCCATGAACTAAGATATGCTCATATACTCATGGTTAAATCATAATAATATACAATTGTATATATTAATTCTACACAACATACAGAATGATTTTTTAAGCACATTCATCATATTTTAATGCTTAGATTATACATATATCAAAATTTAGATTTTTGGTATTTTTAAATACACTTGAAGACTATTATTAGAATCATTGAAATTTCATGTACTACTTAAAGATGATCCTGCGACAATACAAACTTCAGTTTTTCATATTTCAAATAAGAACCTTCACTTTTCATTTTTAATTACCAAGCAGATATTGTTTTTAAATCAAAATTAAAGGTAGTAGTTTTTGAGTTTTGTAACTTTGTGTTTTAAAGATAATATGTCTATGGAGATGGGTTAAGTAGATAGGGGTCTTAGATGATTTGAAAAAGTTACTGATATAAATAATTTGTAAAAATGATCAATGTATAATAAATGCTATATCTAACATTACATATACCTAGTTGGTTAAGCAATTTTTAAGTATTATTATCCTTAGTATTAACATTTGAATAACACAGAAACTACTCATTAGAATTTTGATTTAGATTCATTGCAATTTTCCAAAAAAATTATCTGTTAAATAATTTTCAGTAGAAATTTGGCTCTAACTTGAAAAATAGAAGTTTGTATCACCACAAAATACTCTTTAAATAGTACAACAAATATTAGCAACTTGAAAATATGGCTTCTAGGTCTACTTAAAAATTATAAAATTCAGAGTTCGAATTATTAAAGGCGAAAAATGGGAGTGAGTATGTTTAAAAAATCAGCCTGTATATAAAATATAAATTATTAAATATTATATCACAGAATAATATTATGTATATTTTATCTGTGAGGAATTCTTTCATTATCTATGAGCCCCATGTGATTTTATCTTATCAAAATTACAACGCAAATTTCGTGATAATACTCTTATCCGAATTCGTTTGTTCAAGTACGACTAGTGACTACAGATCACGGCCTTAGACAGATTTAAATAATACTACTTTCAAGGTGTTAACTTTTTCATTGTGGTCTTGTGGTCTATGATAAGTGATAACATTACAACAATATTATTATTTTTAATTGTTGTTATTACTTACTTAAACTACACACCATTTAGGGTTTCAACTCCAATTCATAGCCATCAACTAATCGAGAGTGTAGTGCGTCACAGAGTTTACAGGTCTTATTGGTCTTTTGATTGTGTTCTGCTACCGGGATTATGTAACATTCTAGGTACTTGTCGTTTTCATTGTAATGGTTGAACAATATTATTGGCTTTCTGTGTTTTGAATTGATCTGTGGAGGTTTTGAGTTGAGGTGACAATGTCGATGTTCGAGAACAGTGCATCTGTGAAGGACAAAGTTGACGATACACATCCATTGAAATGCACGATTCTCAATTCACGGAACACTAATGGATATACGGTATGTAAGAATAATAATCCACTTTAAATACACTATCCACAAAGTATAACAATAATTAATGTTGACTTGTGTTGTGTGTTTTTTGTTAAAGGAATACGTCATAGAAGTGACACGCACTGGAGTTCAGGATTACACTTGGAAAATATTTAAGCGGTACAGTGATTTTGTGAAGCTTCAAAATATGTTATTCAAGATGTCATCTAAAATCAATTTGGATTTACCACCTAAAAAATACATTGGAAACATGGATCGAAAATTGGTGATGCAACGCCAGAATGCTTTACAAGTAATGTACAATTTTTTTAGTTAAAAATAATAGGTACTGGATATTTCAAAATGATTCACTTTATCCGGCAAAAATACTTGTATGTTAGTGTCTAATAAAAGAGCCAAGATATTTAAATATTTTAATAGAGTTATTTATTTTGTTTGTTTTTAAAAATTAAATTTGAGGTAGATTTTAACCTTTTCTACCATTGAATATAGGCACATCTAAAATATAACTTTAAAAACATGGCCCATTATCTGTTAGAGGTGTAATTTTTAAATTTATTGTGATTCCATTGACTTTAAAACTCCATTTTTTTAAAAATTATATCAATGTATTTAATTTTTCTTGTGTTCCTAATACATATTATGAAATTTGAAAAAATATAAATGTATAAATAAAATACCTAGACTGAATAGTTCATTGATTGAACGAACAAAATATTTATTTTAATAAATTATTTTTTGACTATAAATGTGTGTTGCAAACTTTTATTTGATTTTATTATTTACAATAGGTACTTTTATAATAAAATGTATTCAATTTAATTGATTCTAATTTTTCTTTTAGTAAGCAATGAACAACTTACATATTTGAGACTAATAAATTAAATTCATACTTTAATATAAAAGTGTTATTGATAATATAAATATACCCTATAAATATTTTGTTTTTATGTTTATAGAGCTCTTTAAACACAATGGTTGAGAATTTAATGTTAGCAAATTCCTTACTAATCAGAAGCTTTTTGGATCCAGAATCATATAGTGAATATTGTAAAGGTAATATTAATTGCTTTTACCTATTAGTAATATCTGTATTTTATTTTTGGATGTATTTATACATTTTGAGCTTAAAATTAGGACATTTATTAAAAAAATTTCTTGTTAATGTTAACTAATTGATGTGAATCCTGTAAAAAAAGTCTACTCATGCCTAAGTTTAATTTAATAATTGAATGATTAACGAATAAAATTGCATTTTAGAATCTTTATTTCAAAAAGTTGGGATGGTACTAAGAGGTAATCGAGAATTTGAATTGTCTAAAGAACTGCCTAATATCGGATGGCGTTTAAAAAGGAAATCATTTTTATCCAAATGGAAAAAAGATCCAAAACAAGAACTTTTATTGTCATGGACTGAATGTGGTCCTGACCTATCACTTAAACAGCTGGATTTAGTTACAGTATTAAAATCTATCTCTAGTATAATAGTAAGTTGAACAATTTTTAAATTTACATGAATATGATTTTTATACCACTTAATTGTTTTGTTTGAAGCATCCGCTCATAGACATTCCCGTGATACTGCCAAGTCCTGAAGGATATATATTATCAGTTCATAATATTCAAGTTGGTAGTTTGAGAGATCTACTCTATCAAACAACACCGTTACAACCTTTCTTAAAAAAATATTGGGATAATTCTTCTCACGTTTATTTACCAGATCAAACTATGGTGTCCTATATTAAACAGATCTTATATGGACTGAAATTTTTACACGATAATCATATCCCTTATGGTTGGTAAATAATTATTTAATTAATTTCACTTATTTTTTCATATAATTGAATTACTCTTCTAGGTCATTTGCATTCTGGAAATGTTTTGGTCTGTGATATTGAAAATATTAAACTAACCGGCATTGAAAATAGTACTTTAGGTTTACCTTCATATTATCGTTCATATGTAGTACAGCTTGGAAAAAAACGTATACAAAGTTTAAACGATGTTGATATATATGGATTTGGTCATATATTATATGAGTTTACGGAGAATGAGCCTTTAACAAGGCCTTTTTGTGAACACTTTTCTCAAAAAACTTCATTAAATTTGAGTAAGATCAAACTACATTTCATAAATAAAACAACTAGTAATAGAAATGTCCTAGCTGTTAAAATCTCTCAATTAATTATAAAAAATTAATTAAAACATTTTTCAGTAAAACAAATGAAAACTATACTTGCACCTCCTTCATCAAAATTACTTATGCCAAGTGTGAACTCAATAATAACAAATTTAAAACATGCACGAATGATAGATGAACAAAAAGACCCATCATTTTTTAAATGTAAAATACCAGCTTTAATAAAAGAACATTATATCCTAATCGCAGAAAAATGCATGTCTAGAATTTTTGAAGACCAAAAAAAAGTATGTATTTACAACTCCTAGTTCAAACATTTATAGATTTTAATTGTTTTAAATCTATAGATCGCATTAGAAAAACGTCATAAAAAAATTTATAAAATAATTCATGACACAGAAAAATGTTCAGATGCAACACGATCAAAACATTTTGTAAGTAGATAAAATTGATAATTAAATAGTTGTTCTACACTTCTACTCTAAGCTTTACTAATTATTGTTATTATTTTTAAAGGATTTTCATTCAATCAAAAGCAATAGTTCACTTGATATCAACAATCGATCACATAGCTCTAGTAGTAACAGTACATTAACTTCTACAGGATCTGATATACAAAATAATATCAGTAAGTAATTAAAATTTTTTAGTAGTATACCAATATATAATAATTATAGGTAAATCAAATTTCTATAAAATATAGACAAAAAAGTTTTAAATAAACATGATCATAATATGATTATAATCGGTATTAAATCTTAATTAATATAATGACATTCCTCCTCTCTTGGTTTCAAAAAACCATAATTTTAAACTTATAACAAATTATTATTAACATATTTTATTATAGTTGCTGTTAATTCATCGTCTTTAGCATCCAACCCTCCTCCACCACCACCGCCACCACCACCACCACTATCAACAACAACAACAACAACTATTCCCATTATTTCTTCTCAATCAAATAATCAGAGAATGGCTTTATTATCTTCTATTAGTATGTTTGATACAAATAAACTAAAGAAAATTGTGAAGTAATAAAATAAAATGTTTTAGATATTTAAATTAGCAAAAATGTTGTTTCATTATATGTATTTTAAATTGTTCCTAAGGTGCTATTGATTATTTTTTAAGAAAAATAATTATTTTTGATACAATTTAAATTACTGATTTCAAGGGTTGTCATAACTTTTTGACTGCTGATTGTATTTTTTCTTTATTACTATAATGTTATGAACATTGTCTATTGAACATAAAATATTTCAATTTTAGTAAGTTAATCAATATCATATTTTTGTAACATTTTTCTTAATGAAACAAATATTTATAAAATGTTATTATTTTTATATAGAAATGACTTTAAAATTTAACTGTTACATTAATTCGGAAACTGATAAAAATAACCATGTTGCATTGTAATATATCTTCATGACTATTTAAAATAAGATATTTTATAATATTATTAATATAATACTATTTGTTTTCCTTTTTTTAAATGTCCAATTCATTTTTGCCATAAAAATAAAATACCTATTATTGTTATTATTTATTTTCAATAACATAAATTATAATTGTAACCAAAATTATATTTAATTTGTTTGTTTTAAGTTTGATTAGTTACATATAAAACAACTACTATATTAAAACAGTAAATATTTGTTATTATGTGTGATAAACAAAACATGTGTAAAAATGACATATTTAGTTACAGAGATTAAGAAAAATCTAAACATATTTATTCATGTTTCAGTGTCTAATGTATGTTTTACCTAGTTATTCTATGAATTCCAGTATTAAATATTACCTATAAAAGATATAAATCAATAATTAAATGTACAAGACAAATTGACATCTAAAAAGTACCAATGTTTCCATTTTATATATATTGTCATTTTTATATTATTTATTTTAGCTATCATGTTATTTTAATATTTTATCATCTTTTATTTCACTAAACAATATTGTATATTTATGTATACAAAAAATAAAATAATTTTTTCGTTAACTAATTGAATCTATTTAAAAATGTTGTAGTATGTATGTTTTTATGTTATTTGATTATGTTATATGAATTATATTTGTTTTATTTTTTATCACCATTATTATCTAAATGAATATTGTATCCATGTTTTTATTTAAATATTATATAATTATTATTTGTTGATATTAAAAATTTGTTTTTATTTACCCAGTAATAATACATAATAATTCAGTAGTATGTCACTACTAAGTAGTGATTTTATGCAAACAATCAATGAAAAATTGATCAGTGGCACATCAAAAAATTACCTATATGCAAAGCAAAGAACCGCCCACACTGTAGTTCTAGACTAGAGGTCAGCAATTGGGGTTACTCAGTCCAAATCCAGGCCGCAGACAGGAAATAACGACTGCCAAAATTATTTTATATTTATGCTGATAATTTTTCATTTTTCATCTCTGTGAAAAAAACCTAAAAGAACTGGCTAAACAAAAAAACAATGTTTTCTAGACCTTGAAATTCTTATTTTATAAAATCTGGACTGCATTCCAAACTTATTACAGACCTAGTGGCTTAACTTGTATTTTAAGGGCCAGTGGCATACAACTCTTTGGCCCCCTAAAATGTTTAAAAGCTTTCTGTAATGAACTAATTATAGTTAATATTTTTTTGAGTTTCGAAATCTGGAGATGTTGACTGGATTCTTCAGCGTTTGTACCTACTTTTTTAATCTAAATTGGACAAATATATAAGTTTTTTTGAAGTTATACTTTCAGTGTATAAAACAGAGAAAGTCATCGTATAGTGACCAGCATACCCTGCTATATAATTTAGGTGATGCCATCAATTAGCCTATTGATAGCCTTGACCCATTAAATGTGTTGAAATCATTGATAACTCATTTTATACGAAAAAAACATAGTTTACTGTGTTCTATTAAATCCATATTCTGATATTCATAAATATTTTTTGAATAGTTTTACCACTGTATTATTAATTATAATACTATCAACTAGTGATTTAACGAATTTCAATGGACCGATCAAAAAGTTCGGTACATCGAAAGTTTATAACATCGAAATTCGTTATATCAAAAGCATAAATCAACCTAATTATTTCAACGAGATTTAAAAGATAAATAAAAATTAAGATTTTATTAAATTATTATAATTACTAAGGTAGGTACATATTCGATATTATTTTTATTAGATATTATTTATTAAAATGTATTTTTAGTTTATATATTAAGTCGGACCCACACGATTCGTATGTTCGGCGAGACGTGGGGCGGATTTGAACGATCCTCTTGAGCATCTCGTTGGGAATACCTGAGGGGCCACCCAATTTGCCTGATGACATCTTCTTAGTGGCCTTGAGCAGCGCGTCCACTGTAAACTCTAGTATCACCTTAGTGGATACCAGATAGTCCGTGTCCTGATTGAACGCTTCGAAGATGTTCCTGACCCCTGGGGATGGTATTGTATCCCAGTTCGTAACTGGGGCCGTAGGTAATAGATGACCTGTTTTCGCTGCCTCTCGACCCTTCGACGCCAGTCTGGTGGCGCCGTCTCCGAACTTTTCATGACCAGTTTGTAGAGTTTCCCCAGTGGTGGGATTCGACCAGAGCACAGAGGTCCTTCTACCGCTATTCCTTAGACTTTCTAATTTCCTTTCTTAGTTCTCCCTTGCAGCATTGAGCTCTGGCTATAACTGCTCCATCCTGCTCGAGCCTAATTTGACAGGACTGGTAAGCCTTTCTGAGTGATAACACTGTTGTTCTGAGTTCTGTGATAGGTGCATAGAAGCTTTGCAAGCGTCAGATATGTATTTGTCGAGAGCCTCAAATACCAATAGTGCTGCGTCGGTCTCGTCGCCAGCCCTTGTCAAGCCTAAAAGCTTTGAGCTAACGTGCTTGTGGAAAGCTTCGAGGTCGAGATTCTTTAGAACCCAACCAGAGTGCGTGGACGATGTGAGGTGAGTCTGTGGTTACCCTGAGCGAGGATCAGCGAGCGGAGGCTCAATGGAGAAAGCAACATAAGCATGGTCGCTAAGTTAACTTCATCAAGAACGGCCCAGGCCGTTGAAGGTCGCCTCCCTTCTTATGAAGGTGGGTGTGTTTCTAGTGCTAATTAAGAAGAGGCCCAAGCTGCACGCGAAATCCTAACCTCTTGAGTTGTTAGAGCCCCACTCAACTTTCCAGGCGTTGAAATCGCCACTGACGACCGGCATATCCCGCATTGATCCGATCCGTTCGAGGTCGCCGAGGACGACCTCATGCTCGCCGAGGACGACCTCATGCTCGCCCAAGGTTGTACCGGGCCTCCAGTGGTAGCTGAAGATGGCTAGGTCAACCCACAAAAAGCCTTGGTTGGAGCCGCAGTCTTCGTGAACGAAACCTGTGCCGGAGGTGGTGCCTTTGGTGGCTTAGCGGTCGAGGCCGTGGTACATTCTCGCCCCATCATCCGATTAAACGAAAGGCTCGCTCAAGACGAGGATGTCCACATCTCTCTGGGTCGCCATATGGTCTAAGACTTGTTGAGCGTCCCAGTTATCATTGCAATTAATCTGAAGGAAGTTAATCATTTTGGCCGTCGCTGAGACGCAAAGACTTGGCTGCGCACTTGGCCTTGCAGGAGCCTTGCCTGTGTGGTCCTTAATTGAGACCCATTCGGTCGCAGGCCACGCATTTGGAGTCCCGAGTGTATTCCTTTTCCTTATGAGACATCTCGCCAAATTTGCGACAAGTCACTCAAGTCAGGGCCCAAGCAGCTTCTGTGCGAGTGCCCGAAGCCATGTCGCTTGAAGCACCTTGTAGTTTCTGAACGGCGGATTCTGAACCTGCAGCTGGTCTATCCTACACTGACGCGGCTCACCTCTGTGAGGTTTGGCCTCAAGACACGCTATCCGTTCTTCAATCTCCACATGGAGGTAACCAAAATAAAATAGGTCTTTAAATATTCTCTATAAGTGTTAGGATCGAACTCTAAACTGAACTTGGAATTGTCCAAAAATTTAAGTGCGTAATATATAATGAAAATTCCACAATTAAATGCATCATTTTGTTTTAGAACATTTTCAAAGGGGCATGGTTTCTGTGTAACGATGGACTCTCATGTGTGCCGTCACCGTAGATGACATGTGGTTTCAATATTTAAAATAAGGTTTTTTTTCTCAGGTTATACACGTGTGTGTTTGTGTTCGGCAGAACTTCTTATTGGGCACCCGTAGGTTTCTGCCATGACAGGTTGGGGGAAAGCGGCACTTGTTCTCCGGGCACCGCGACTTGTCCGGAGAAAAATGCCGCCCCCGGTGACCGAGGATCGAACCGCGACCGGCTGCGTCGCAGCGGACGTGTCAGACCACTCGGTCACTGGGAAATACAGGTCGTCCAAGATGTTACAATTTTTATAACTAGATATTAAGTAACTATATTTTACAATTAGATAATGTTTATTTTTCGGCAACTTAATTGGTTTATAGTACGTCAAATCTTTAAGGAGCATATTGTCGTAAAAATCTATAGATTTAACTGGTAGTCGAAACGGAGATTTATGACTGCCAGGAGTTGAAACGGATTTCATTAAACAATCATCCGACAATGGCTTACTTAAATCACGGACGACCATGTCCTTAATAGGCTCATCAACAGTGAACTTAGTCTCACTGTCACATTCTATGACCACAACGCTTTCAATACCATCGACCACTTTGGGCGTAGGTACGGTTATTTTCATCTGCTGTAGTAGGTAGTGGTCGAAAACTTTGGGATTCTTAATGACAGGGCTTTGAAAGGACGGTACTTGGTGGGTTGAAGATGTTTGTGTTGTTTCTCTTTCCCCCCCCCCTCCAACTTTCTATTGCGTCCAAATGGTTATAACTAGAAATTGCTGAGATTTTTCTTTTCCCATTTACTTTGGTAGTTATTGTCAAAATCAAATGCACGCGTACAAGTTTTTTTTCTAATATTATACTTTATTTGTTTGTGTACATTGATCACACGCTGTCTCATAAGTTTAAAAAACCGCATTTCCACCTTCAGTCGCCATCAAGTATGCCGACTTTTACCGTTTAAAACCAAGACTCAACGGTAGCATTACTCTGGCGGATTTCAATGCCATTGTTGGCTTTATTATTCATAATAGCTAGGTGTCTACAATGCTAAGAAAGGTACACTGCACTTGACTAGGCATTCGTGTAAATATAATTCATTATAGTATTCGTTAATAATTATATTATCACTATTTACAGCACAATTTAAGACTTCAGTTTTAACATGTTCTTTGATAGACTGAAATCTACAGTACATCATTGAATTACTCGTATCAGATTCGCATAAAAATTTATTTATTTCTTCTGAAAAATCTTTGTCTTCGTTGTTCGATTCATTTGACAGTTGGTGGTTAACATTACACCTGTCTCTCATCGTACTAATGGCATTTTTGGTATTTCCAGTACTACATGGAGACAACAATATTATTGAAAATATTTTGAACTAATTTTCTATATCGTCCAAACTCTTTGCTTTAAACAGTAAACAATAAACATATCCAATCAATAACATTATTTATTTTAGTTTTGTCTACTGTGTTACTGTCGTTTGACTCTGATTGAAAATATGTATAGGCATGGTTTACTATAATGATTCGCATTTCGCACAGATGTTCATGATCGTGACATTAGACCCGTCACTGTTTTCACCCAAAACTCTGTAACACCAGTTAAGGTAATCGAATATGGAGGTAAAACCACTCCATCCTATACACACAAGGCATTCATTTGTGCATAACTGAAATCCGTCACTATTTTTGTGAATACAGGCCAAGTCAGTTTGTGTTTCAAAACAAATGCTTTAAAATAACTTTACTAATAAAAGATTTACATACCTGTTTCCGTACAATGAGATGTTTTAAATACTTCAAGTCAAATTATGTCAAATTACATAACTCAACTCAAGGTT